AGAACACACACATTCTTCTTTTTCATGGCCTGTCGTCACTGGTGCAGCTGCTGCCCTGCCATATGCATGAGAGAGTAAATGCATGCATCGTGCATGGCAACCAATGACAAGGGCGGACGAGCATCGATCAGCTTCTAGTACTAGTACTAGAAGGCAGTAGCCTGCAAAATTTATGATCTGGCAGCCTTAACCAGCGGGACGACCTCTGTGGATTGCGTCCGTTTCTTTGACAAGCAAAGGAAATGTCCAATATGCTGCCCTCTATGTACGTACTACTACTGTAAGTGCAAATTGCATCTGCATCCTGGTAGGACGGTGTCCAACAAGAAATTATATGGACATCTAAACCTAAAATAAATAGCAAGAGACCTAAAATTAGCCTCCAATAGAGTATCTATACGGGAAACCTATTTTGGGTTGCCTGAGAGACACAACCCAAATATGGGCATCCTCTCTTCTGGAAACCTATTTGCAGAAAGGATTCTCTTTTGGGTCTTATTGTTGGAGAAGATGCCGAATATGTATTGAATCTTTTACTGTAGTGCTACCCAAAAGACGAATGCGTCTTAGATTTTGGGTGTTATTGTTGTAGATAGCCTAATAAGCCTATCCGTAGCACGCATGATTTTACCGTGAAGATGTTGCGGATCATCAGAGGCTGCTTTAAAATTTACTCCCCCGTCCACGAAAAATACAACTACGGGTTACGTGCCATAAGTGGATCATGTTTGACGAAATTTTTAGTAAATACTATTCACATTTACGGCTCTAAAATAATTTATTATAAAAATACATTTCATAGTTAATCTAATGTGATATTTATTTGATGTCATAAATATTGATACTTTTTATCTATAATTGATCGAAATTAAGATACTAAATTATGACACTGTGCTAGAATTGCATTCTTTCCCTGAACGGAGGGAGTATGTCAGTGATATATAGTTTTATATATGACATATGTCACATGTTCGTTAACTTATTCGTGACGGAATTTTTACGTCAAGGCAAAAACAAAAGTGGTTAAATTTGCATATTTAATTGTGTGCAATTGTTGAGATTTCAAGCAATATATATGTAATATCATCCTACTGTCTGGACAACTGATGAACCATGCTCCAGTCAGGCTCTATGGATAGCAGATTGGCTGTGTACGTGCAGCGAATGAAAAGGCTGAAAGGAGAATCGAAAGTTATGACCAATATCTTGCTTTCGGACGAACAGAAATACAACTATTTGCCCTGCCCTCAAATCAAAATTAAACATATATAGAATGAAGAACAATTCGCCCAGCTTGAACTTATAAGCTAGATGCCGAATGTCCCATGATGAACCGAGCCATGCATAGCTACAAAGGATCGACGACGCATGTGACACATTACGAATAGTGAAGCAAGCCGCAGCTCTGTATAGCTAGCTGATGTGAGCCATCTCTGTCTCGGTCGTGCTATGTCTATCTATCTATCTACTACTCCATGTAGCTTGCCAGTAAGAATGGCAATCATTTAGGAAGCTTACAAAGGTATATGTTGATAAAGATTCATTGGACGTTGACGAAGTTGACGTCCCATAACATCATCTCCATCTCTCATATCGTAAAAAAGTTCAGTCGTTGAAGATTCCTGATCGATGCACCGCAGCAAACTCTCAAAATCCAGGGAGTAATCGAAGCCTATGCATATGATCCACCGATCGAGTGACAATTCTGTCAAACTTTTTGCTATGCGACAGCTAGCAGAATTGCTTCTCATCCAGTCCTACATCCCTTTTCTTCTTGTTACTTCTTTTCAGAGGATAGGAACACGCTTGTTTTTTTTTATTACAGCCACTCCTTTTTACGCGAGTATGCGCTGTTGTGTTTCCTCATTTTGTAATAATTTACAATGCTAGGAATGTACATGCATGACTTGTTACGAAATTTGGACATTTTCTGCTCGATGTGATTTTACAATATTTATATAGGATCTCCAATAGGCATAGAGTCTGTAACCGTGTCCCATTGGATGTATATATTGCTTGGGCAGCATATATCTACCGCTAGCAAATGTGTTTGTGCATTGTGCATGAACACCCTGGATGCGAGTTATTATTCTAACTGATTGAACATGGTCATGAGTTCAATTCACATACAGGACATAAAGAGTGTGAGGGCATTATTGCCAGAAGTTAAAAAAAAAGATAAACGAAAGATTTAGTATCAAAAATAAAATAAGTGATGCTTTTTGTGTCCCTCCAAACAAAAAGAAGGTAGAATAAGTTAGATCTGAAGATACCCTGGCAATGCAGAAACAACAGCAAAAATCACTAGGATATACTGCCCCTTCTGCCAAAATTCTGTGCCAAATGGCCACTGGTTTAAAGGCAGATAAATGAAAGATATGTGAATATCTAACTGCAAAGCATGCATATATTTCCCACTTTTTTTACTGAAGAAATGAATATTGATATGTGACCTGATAACCATGATTCTGAAAAGAATCTAAACGTCAAAAAAAATTAAGAATAAGTAGGCAAGAGGCTCACATAAAGTGCAAGCATGAATACCAAATCTTGCATCTGTCTCTCCTATTAATTGGCGAGGTTCTGTGAAATAAATTTTGGGCCACTAAAAGTGCAGAAAGAAGGCATTTACATTATTTTCGTTTATATATCATCAGGTTGATGCATGCCAGCATGATATATTTGAGTTCAAAAATAGGCGGCGTGACAAAAGTAATACTAGATACAGTTTAAAGCAAGAGTAAGCATGGAACTATATATGTCTTAAATGTATAGATACTTCCGCTCTTTGTTTTCTTCTAACTTTCTTCAATGGACTGGTGCTAATAATATAGCAAAAACAATTATTTGATGCTGCCAAAGAAAGTAATGTTTAATTGGTTTGAAGTACAAAGCTATATGCTTGCAAACAATAAAATTGTATTCCCTTGTGAGCACCAACTAGAGATTTGCTTCTAGAAATGATACGGATGGTACATCTAGGGTCTAGATAGATAATCCTGGTAAACCCTTCATTATATTAGCATTTTTGAAAGTCGCACTAAAAGAAAGCAAAAGATCATACATTAATTATATTATGTTAATTTTTCAAAGAACGAAATTCTGAATTGATAAAGTGGTCAGAGATGCTTTGAGAACTCTTGCAATTTTTATTGTACCTGTCTTTTTCACTCATTCTGTTAATTTCCATTTTCCCAAGTGCCTACATGCATGCAAACATAACTGTAGTGCGTGGGTATAAACTTTGAGGAGTGGTACCAATCTATCTACCTATATTATATTATTATATAAACATGAGAGACAAGCAAGCATCCAAGGAATCAAATGCAGGTAGGTCATGCCATGGTTCTCTCTTTGAGGAACAAATTAAGAAGCCATGCATTAATGCAAAGATCCCAAGGAAATGGAGAGAGAAAAGAATTCAAGAAGAAGATGGGCCCTTCCAAAAGGGAATGATCTTTTCACCGAGACCAGAGCCTTGTTTAGATGATGGTTGAGAATCAGTATTATATTTGGTATTGTAGCATTTTCGTTTGTATTTGACAATTATTGTCCAATCATGGCCTAACTAAGCTCAAAAGATTCGTCTCGTAATTTACAATCAAACTGTGTAATTAGTTATTTTTTTATCTACATTTAATACTCCATGCATGTGTCCAAAGATTTGATGTGATGGAAAGAGAGTGAAAAAATTTAGAATCTAAACAAGACCCAGAGAACAGAGAGGAGAGGCAGGGAACATAGCCAGGAGAGAGAAGGGGGATTAAGGCCGGGGAGGAGCAAGCTGGCCACCAAAAGGGGTGGCCTGGTTTTGAGAAATCCCATGATTTTGTTTGAGGGGACAGGGGGCAGGGATTAGGGTTGGCATTGATGCATGGGATCATGCCACTGCCATGCCCTCCCAAAGACAGCTTACCAGAATATCTGGGGCATAACACAGAAAACAAGAACCCAAACCCCCTTCCCCCTGGGCAGGAGAGGAGACACACCAACTTTCTTCATGCCAAGAGCACATTAGAAAAACACTAGGTTGTTATATATATATAGTGTGTGGCCTGTTGCAAGTTGCAACACCGCGGGAGTGATGATTACACCCACACAAACAGACTACCAAAATGACCCATTAGTTTGTGGCTAGTGCTAGACAAAGCACGCATGATTGGATATAAATACAAACAACGGCATCAAGAGCCAACAGGCAAGTGAAGTTCAGGAATGTTTATATAACGAGGCCATGCAAGTGAGCTAGGAGCTAGAAGATCCTCTCCTCCATGCCTCTGATATATAAAATAAACTATTGTACGCATGAATAGAAAATGAAGAACGGTCAGAAGAGGACATTCTGCAAGATCACACGTTCAACTAATATATAGTAACACATCTCTCCAGTCTCCACATCAAAATTAACAAATAATAGTAACAATGCAATAGGTCGGTCTCCAGCAAAAATAGACAAAAAAAAATCTCCCTACTGCTAGAACTATGTATATAGAATGCTCACATGAGCTACTGAGAAACAAATGAAAGAAGAAATAGATATATATAAATGAAAATGAAAATAGCAAAGCCGATTTTAGTTTACGTTGAAGCAATTGCTAGCCTAAAGGCCAACCTCTTCACTTGCCGCCATTCCATGCATGCAAGGATATGAACTCAACTCCTCAAATTAACAAGAGTAATAATCAACCATCCATCCATCCAAGCAGCTAAGATTAACAGCAATTAAACCACAGAAAGCTAGGGTTAGGGTTTCCTCCTCCTTGCAATTAATCCAATATGTTCATCATCCTCCAAAATCACCATGAGATCTTGCTAAGTACGTAACAAGTAACCAATATTATTGCTACAAAATGCAATGCTCTATACGCTAGCTCTATATATGCGGTAGTGATGACTAGTAAGCGAGCCAAACCCTAGTCCGTCTCGTTGCCGCCGCCGGCATGAATGCATGCACGCAGCAGGTAGAAGGCCCGCTCGTCCTCAGTGGCGGTAGTGGTGGGCTACTGCCACGACGACACGGACAGCAGTGGCCGCGTCTGCCACCCAAGAAAGCACGCGCCGCGCGCCTCCTGCACGAGGTAGCCCTCCGACGGGTAGTGCAGCCGCAGCAGCAGCCGTGCCTGCGACACGGCGAACGCGCTGAGCGGCCGCGCCGCTAATCCGGCGGCGCCCGCCGCTGCTCCCCACCGTTCGAGTCCGCGCCACCACCTCCCACCGGAGGCACCCAGCGCGGCGTCGATCTCCCTGCCGAGCACCTCCTGCTCCACCGCTAGCCGCTCCCGGCTCCCCGGCGGCACAGTCGCCTCGAGCGCCTCGAACACAGCCGAGTAGTGATCCATGGCAACCGCGGCCCGCTGGGGCAGGTCGTCGATGCGGTCGAAACCCCCGCCGATTGTCTCCCTCTCCGCGACGGTCACCACGGCGGGGGCCATGGCCTTCACCCACTTCAAGAAGGCGGCAAGCTCGTCCTGCCCGCCTAGCTTGTGCAAGAACATGACGCAGTTGACGGCCAGCGTCTCGTCCGGGTGCAGTTCCAGGCTCGTGGCCGCGCTCGATGTGGTCGTCGTGGTGCTCGCGCTGGCGACCTGCTGATGATGATGGGTGGCGGCGAAGGAGAGCAGGAGCGGCGTGAAGTGGAAGGGGAGCTGGATGGAGCGGGCGAAGGCGCGGAGGCGGCTGCCGGTGCGGAGGAGGGTGTCCCGGTCGGCGCCGGCGCCGGTGATGCGCACCTCCGGCGGTCCCGCGGCCGGGTCGGCGCGTTCGGCGATCGCCTGCAGGAGAGGCGGCCACTGCACGCCGTGCGCGGCGTCCAGGTCGAGGATGTGGATTCGGCGCGCGCCCTCGACGGCGTCGAGGATGGCCTGGTTCGCCGTCAGGTGCGCGAAGCGCAGGAAGGGCGCGATCTGGTTGAACGCGAGGTAGGCGCCAGACGACGCCGGCCACGCGGCGGCGGAGGAAGTAGCGGCGGCCACCAAGCCCGGGGCGACGATGCGGCCCGCGGCGGCGGCCCTGACATCCGCCCGGAGCGCGAGCGCGCGCGCGAAGTGGTAGGCGAGGCGGTCGGCGGCGTCCGCGCGCGGGGACGCCGCGGACAGGAGGACCCCCGCGGCGCGGCGCGCGGCCTGGAGGTCCCCGCGCTGCAGCAGGTCGGCGCAGGCCAGCACGAGGTCCCGCGAGGACGGCACCGCCGCCGCGAGGACGCCGCCGCCGCTGTTGCTGCTGCTGCCGTTCTTGTTGCCATTGTTGTTGTCGGTGTCGTCGTCGTCGTCGGAGTGGTGGTGGTGGAGTGAGCTGAGCATAGCTTCGACGGTCGTTCCGCCCAGGCCGAGCTTCTTCTTCTTCAGCGGTGCGACGAGCCCGCGGAGGAGCGGCGGCAGCCGGAGTCGGCGGTGATGGCAGGCGAGGAGCATGAGGGGGTGGAGTGGAAGGACGTGCATCTCATCTCCAGGCGGGTTTAATAGGAGCGCACGACGTCCAGCAGCAGCAGCAGCATCTGGGGAGGCTGGGGCTGGGACTGGCCTCGCAGCTGCAGCTTCCGTGACAGGACATCCTCATCTGCCAAGAATACAGAGGTGTGCTTGTGTGAGAGTCTGAGAGGCTGCAGCAGCTCATCAGCTATACCCCTACACAGTACCTTGCCACTACCTACTCGGCCATAGCCTAGCTAGCTAGTAGTAGCAGCTACTAGTAGAGAGAAGTGGATGCTTTCTCTCTCTAGGAACTTGGAACTAGAGGAATAGAAGTGGGAGGGAGGGAGGGAGAGGGGAAAGGTAGCAGCAAGGGTGAGTGAGTGTGCAGGGAGGAGCTGTCTTTTATGGTGGATCGTGGTGCGTGTGATTTGGGGGGGAGGCTAGCTAATAAAGGAATAGAGGAATCTAACTAAAACATTCCATGGATTGGTACGGTGTTGGTGGGCCTAAACAACCAAAGATTCATACACCCAGTTCGCTGTTTTAGTCAGGCTTATTCAATCAGTCAATAGTATTTTTCTCTCATAAAATACTAGTACCAGTCAGCATAAATTAGTACCGGCACCGACCAACGAACACGCTCGTAGTACGTGGAGCTGACTCGTTACGCTATAAGCCAGGCTACTAATCTCTATTACACGTACTCTGCTACAAAAAAAAATTACACTACTTGATGTGCCAAGCTAGCTTGCTTTACATTAGTACTCCTTCTCATCTTTTCTTTTCTTTTCTTTTCTTTTCAGTTAATTTTATTGTCAACATCTCATACACAGATCACAATTGAGATCATATATATGAAAACAATTCCAAATATGAATCCAGTGATTCCAAAATTTTGTGATATAATTTACAAATTCTTAGGCCAAATATATTTATCAGATTGAATACAGGGTTGCATGCGTTCAATAATAAAGAAAATGGAAAAAAAACAAAAGATCGAGTACTTGGCTACTAGCCAGATGGATGGGACGATGGGTGGATGGAGACATTGGAGTATTGGACAGATGAGCAATGTGAGTAACTGAGTATACATCCGTGTGCGTGTTCGTTGGATCCAATGCCATAGCCAGCCAGGAGAACTGGATGATGATCATTGGTTCCTCGTGTGCTTGTGTGTATACACAAAATGGATGCAACCAATCATGTTTAGCACCATGTTTAACCCATTATTACAATTATGTGCTATATTATTAGGATCAAACCACCAATTAGTCTCAGTTATCTCTTATTAGCTCATATTTTGCCCTACTATTTAGCATTCAAAATCTATCTAAGGTAATTGTTAGCTCATAAGATCGAAACAATCCTCGGTATTTCGTAGATTTTACAGATGCTTCGAGTTGATCATGTTTCTTAAGGGTCCAACACAATGGCATTGTACATCACGCCTCTATTAGGTGTTGGTTTGCTTACTCCAACATCAGTTAAATAATCCAACTTATAGGTGGTGGTGGGGTGTGTGGAAGCTGAAATAAGCTATAGATAGCTTATAGGATTATTAAGCTAAGTGTCCTAGATTATAAGCTGGCTTATAATGAGTTGAGTTATTTGTTGACATTTAGGCTTACATATAAACCAATTATAAAAGCTGAAATAAGTTGGATTATCCAAGGGGTTGAACAAACATATCTAAGGGGCAACATATATATAACACAAATAGGACTCATCAAGAAAACACATGCATTGGTATGACATTGAAATTCTACAAGGATGAAAGTGCAAAACAGGTGTACATGCTAAACATTTAGTCACCAACAGTTAATCCACTAAATGGCCATTTAAATGAGCGAAATGAACATTTAAACAAGATAAATGGTCGATTAAACAGAAATAGTGTACCATTAAAGAAGCTAGGTTGACTGTTTAGGCGAATAATGATGTAAAGAAAAACAATTTTGTCAAAAACAGAAATTTTCATAAGCAGATATTTATGAGCATTGTGGGAAACATCAAATTAGCAATATAAAGAGAAATAAGGTAGAGGAGAAAATTCCATTATGTATGAATTAAACTTGTAGCAATTATATTTTCATTATGTCTTGGCTACAAATATACATATTTCTAGAATTTTTGGGATAGATTAAGGAAGACGAGAAATTACTGTGATGCTCCTCAATCATGCAATTATAATTAGCTCCTCCCTATTCACGTAATGCCATAAATGGTAGGTGTGTAGACCATTATAATTAGGCAAGAAATGCTTATATCTGTGGACAAATTTTGAATGTTAGAAATTCTTATGTATGTGGATAGAGAGAATATTTCTTTATTCAAACTAACTAAATGGAATCGAGTATATAAATGTTCAGCGAAAATAAAGTTATAAATGTGATAAAAGAAGTCACCAGATTATTTTTTGATCTCAACCTTACTCTCTTATTTTGGCAAACACGCCTAAGCATATATTTAATTAGAAGGGAACAAAGTGCCAACACAAGCTAGTCCAAGCCGGGAAGGGCTTAGATGGCACCGAATACAACAAAGTTTGTTACACTAAGCAAAAACAAAAAAACAACCTACAGCTAGAGCTAGGAGCCGGACTACACACTTACACCGTTGAAGAGCGACCTCAACCTACAGAACACAATGCTTGGATCCATAAGAACTGTGAAATATACAGGTTTTTCCTACCGTAAGTATTGAGTAAATGTTTAGAAAGAAACCCTTGTTGTGTATCTACAACTCATATATATGGTGATAAGACATACACAAGATTGCATTATTTCAAGTAGCCAAATCACTGTATAAATTAAATTGCTTATCTACTCGTGTCGATGGGAATATGGTTGAAGAAAACAGGAACAAGTATCTTTTTTCTATCTTAATTATGAAATGACACGCAGCTGGTAGGAGTAGAGTAGCTCCAATCTCTAGTTGTTGAAACTAGCAAGGAAACCATATTGTGACTAGAAAGTATTTTGTGAACACCACTTTGAACGTTGACCATAGCATGCACCTTTGTTTGACCAATTTATTTGGACAACTGGGCATCTTTTCTGGATCAGTGTATTAATGTTTTTTTCTATACAAAATGGACATAAAAAATGGACCCCCCACCCCCCCGGTTTGTTTTAAAAAAAACATAATCAACAATCAACATGCTAAAACGTTTATGAAAAGATCATATATAGATTTTGGCCATTATACAGTTAGGAACTGCTCTATTTGCACCTAATGATCACACTGGTCTTGAACACTTTTATTGTTCTCCACGCTTTTAAGTTGAGTAGTAGTGCAAGCTAGTATGGCCATGTTCGTTTCTCTTATAATCCGTATTTTTCAGCTTATTTTTTAGCCGGAACAGTATTTCTCTCTTACAACAAATCAGCCGGAATAGTGTTTTCGGCTTATTTTTTCAACGAAACGAACGGGCCCAGTAATCCTGTTTTGTTACTTGCCTAGTTTTAGCTTGCTGCTTAATTAGTGTGAAACCTGTTTGCTGATCTTGATAGTAATAGTCAGTGCAAGTTGGAACTCTTTAATCATTATGGAAGCCTCAGGATGCTCCAGTATTATAGTCTGACGATTTGGACGGCTAGGCTACCATCTCTCTCTCTCTCTGTGTGTGTTCTCTCTCTATGTGAGTGTGCACACGCAATGCTTTAAATGGGTGAATAGAGACTAGACAGAGCCGACTCTCCAACCATATCAGCCGCGTTTCGCATGTCCTTAAACTTGACTTGAAGCGTCTTCTTTTTTTCATCCGGAACAGTGTTTTTGTCTCACAAATTTCTCCGATATTCCTCCAAACCATCCAAATTACTTCAGAATTCCTCCAAGCGAACAGGCCCGCCATGTTTTGTCCCAGGGTGGGATCTCCATTGATGGCTCGGCCCTGATGAGATAACTTCTCCTACTTGCGAAAAGAAGAGCACACCGCACCCTCACCTGGCCCTCGCTATGTCAGTGCTGCACATTGCACACACATGCTTGAGTAACCTGCAGCTACACTCCTCCCCGATTGGGTGGCTACGTTCTTGCTTGCAGGATCACATGCAATCCTAGCCCAAGCAACAGTGCAGGTGTATGTACGCATGCTGATGCATGAGAGATGAGAGAGGAGATGAGAGGAGAGCAGGGAGCAGAGAGACAGAGAGAAGGGCAGTGAAGACTCACATCGAAGGCATCTTGATACAACACATTAGCAAACAAATGGAATATTGCAGCAGCCAGGGGTGAAAGCTGTGAATGTGAGGCAGCATGACACTGGGCGGCCTTGGATGGAATGTCTCAGTCCCCAGATGAGGCAAACTATCATCACCTCCACCTGCCCACCATCATTGCCCACCAAAAGGGACATGTGCCTCTGTGTCAAGCAGCAGATATCATCCCTCCCTTGCTTCCAACTCTGCAAAAATATTTTGTACACGTATATATACTCATGGCATCAGAATGTATATATAGTACATGGCATATGCATATGCATGCAGAGACAGAGAGCAATACAAGTAGCATACACATACAGGGGCCAAAAGAAACAAAAGGTCATAGGGAGAGAGATCTTATCCCTTGTGGCAAGAGGGAAGAGATCTTTGCATATGTGTGCAAAGGCCTAGACTACCACTGGCGCCTGTGGATTGTGTAACTTGTGTGCACCAAGGGAATCTACTCTAGTCACTCTTCCCTGCTGCGAAGGGTGAAAACGGTACGGATATTTTCTGATCGTATTCGAAATCAAATCCGTTTAGAGGGTTCAGATCTGTCCGTATCCGAGTCCGGATATTCAACATCCGATACCGTATCCGTATCCGAATACTCAAATCGCATATTTATGATGTCGATATTTAATCGTATTGTACCTGGCATGGTTGATACTATCCATATTCAAATCCGAATCTAGACAGAAATATGAAAATAAATGTGATATCAGTAATATCCGTTCGTATCCATTTTCATCACTACTGCCGCGGCATGCTCTTATGCATACTACCTCAAGGCAAAGGCATGTAGCATGTAGCATGTAGCAC